GGCGGGAGGAGCCTGGCGGGCCCCGCTCGGCCTCCGCCTTGGCCCGCCGCCGCCACCCCGCCAAGCCGGCCATGGAGGGCGAGAGCACCACGGCCCTGCTGCCGGGCTTCGTCTTCGGCGCCCTGGCTTTCCACCACCTCAGCACCGACTCGGACGCTGTACGTAAGGCTTGGTCGCGGGTAGGGCTCCCACGTGCACGCAAGACCCGTGTCCCGCTGGTCTCTGGCAGACGAAACGCGTCTCCCCCCGAAAGAAGCCGGGAGAGGGCAGTGCTTTCCCCTTTGGTTGAGCCACTCATGGTCTCCCCTCTCCCTTCCCCTGCCTTAGTCCCGGGTCGTGTTTTTAGCGTCATGGAACGAGAGAACCCCAGAGCATGTGCAGAGGGCCTTCCTCTTTCCAGGCGGGGGAAGCCCCTCTGTCTTGCCCAGCTTGGGGGCTACTTTCTACCTATAGTCTCCGTTTCAGCGCCTCTTCCTGGCTGTCCAAGTTCCAGCCGATTCCAACAACAAAAAACATTTGCAACAGATGGATGTATTACTGTAATCACCTTCTGGTATAGCAGCACCCACATTTCAGTCAGTGGGGAAAAAATGATGGGAGAGTGATGGGTGCATTTCTTCCTACCTATATTATATGCCACAGACAGAATATACTATTGGCCACCACCTCATCTTCCTGTCAAAAGCATTACCTAAGAATCATCTTCCTTTAGTAAGTCAGCAAAGATTGCTCCCAGCCCCTTGAAATCTTCTTAGCGTCCAGCTAAGGGCATGGAAGAGCGGCAGGATTTGGCCTCCCACATATCAGTGGCCACAGTTTCAGCCTTGCAACATGCTTAATGTGTTGGTAGACCAGTTCCAAATACGCTTGCATAATAATATAGATTTGCTTTTGTGCAAGCATAAATCTGTAACATCCCTAGCATTTCCACATGAGCTGCGGTGCATGTTCAGTCTCTCATGGCTTCCATCTCTTAACGTATCTGAATATTAAACTATGGTAGTCGTGTCTACCAGCTTTTAAGATTGCAAGTGCCCAATTATTTTTAATTTTAAAAAACGCTTTGAGGTGCAAACTTCAAAATAAATACTTGTAATAAATAAATACTTGCCTATGCCTATGATGTAGAAGTAGCAGTAGGAGAGATTTCCATATGGGTGAGTAGGTAGACATAGTAATTATGATCTTCCTTATACAATTGGAAACCATGGATTATTTGGGTTTTTTAATATATACTGATCAGTCACTACATCCTTCTTTTTTCCTTTTAATGAAAACCAAGTTTTTGAGAACTCCTACCAATAGCGTTAAACCAAAAGCAAGATGCTCTGGTACCACTAGAGGATTGTGACTTTATCTGGAAAAAATTTTTTATGGCACTTCCAAAGTATGGTGACCCTGATAAGGTTTTTGATATATATAAGATTTTCTTGCCATTGTTAGAGTTTGGTAAGTTTCTGTAGCCAAGTGGAGATTTGAATCCAGATCGCTTGAGTCTTAGTCTCGCTCTTTTATCTACTATACCACACTGGCTCCTATAGAAATGATATTTTTAAAATTCAGTCTCCAACTTTTTAAATTTATTTAGCAAATGAATATTAAGTCTTTCTGCAAGTTATTACTGCAATATTGTTGGATGTACTTTGTATATTTTCAGTTCCCTGTCTTCTAATCTTAAATGACCAAAGCTGAAATTGTCCGGCACCTACAATACATTGATAGGTTTGTTTTCCACTTTCAAAGGAAGGATTTCTCCTTGGAGATGTAAAGGGTGAAGCTAAAAATAGCATTACAGATTCTCAGATGGATGATGTTGAAGTTGTTTACACAATTGGTAAGTCATTCGAACGCAGTTTGTCATTTTCCTAAGAAATATGAAGAACAGTTTTTCAGTGGCACGCTTTACTAGTTTTACTGAATTACAGTGATGCCTCGACTGACGAACGTTCCGACTTACGACCAATTCGAGTTACGATCAGCTCCGGCCACAGAATTTTGCTTTCACTTGCGGCCGGAGCTTGTGCCTCGACTGACGAACATTCCGACTTACGACCAATTCGAGTTACGATCAGCTCCGGCCACAGAATTTTGCTTTCACTTGCGGCCGGAGCTTCGAGTTACGATTGGAGGGGAAAAGGCAGGGAATTCAAATTGCTAACGGTTGGTGGCGAAGAGGCTGCTTTTTTGTAGCTCTTTCGCCCCAACGGTTAGAGAGGGAGTGATCGGAGGAAGCTTTGGACTACCTGGTAAGGGGCTGCTTTCTGCTTTTTAAAAATGCCTGTTCTGGGTGGGTTTTGCAGTGTGGTTTTGGGCTGGGAGGGTTATGTTTCTGTGCTGTGATGGTTCTTGCAGGGTTTGTTTGCTTTTTTGCCCCCCCCCCAATTTCCAATGGGTCTTGCAGGATTTGTTTGCTTTTTGGTTCTCCGCCTCTATTTCCAATGGGTCTTGCAGGGTTTGTTTGCTTTTTGGGTCCCCCTCCAATTTCCAATGGGTCTTGCAGGGTTTCTTTTTTCCTTCTTCAACTTCCATGTTCTTCACAGTGGTGTCTTACTTTCCAGCATATTCAGTGCAGCAGAACGGGAAAGCACAGATGTGGACCTAGTTTAGTTCTATTTGTGGTCGCGTTCCTAGAAGAAAAAAAATCTATCTTTTGATTTTTTTTTTCCCCATCATTTCCAGAGTAGTCATTTCCCTCTTCCCCCATTCTTCTCTATATTTCAAGTTTGTTTTTGTTTTGTTCTGATTAGGCCTAAAACTCTAATTTGTGTTCTTTTTGCATCAGAGCTCTTTCATCGTGTGAGTTTTTCCTTTTTAACGGTATTCAAGTAGCAATTTATGTATTGTGAACATTAAACCCACTCTTACAAAAATCAAAACAATACCCATAAAGACATTTCTCACATAGTTATGGTAAAAGTAAATAGTTTAATTGTAGTAACTAAGTAGTTAAGTAAATGTAATGCAATAGGCGAAATCCTGTCACATAAAGTTATACCTGTGTAAATCAGAGCTGGTGTCAGAAGCATTTAATTTATATGATCTGAAAGTTTCTTATCTTCCCCTTTCAAGTTCTAAGGCTCCTTGGAGCGCCTGTTTGCTCTGAAGAAGGGTTTGGGAGCCTCAGTTTACACAGTATAACTTTATGCTAATAGGATTTTGCCCGGTATATAATAATGATTTATATCCAATTCCATTATTCTATGGTTCTATGATATGAATCTTTTATTTTTAAATTCTTTGAGGAAAAAAAGACACAGAAGGAAGTCTGTCTCAAGCATTCAGAATAATATAATGTTGTTTCATTTCAGATATACAGAAACATATTCCATGTTATCAGCCTTTCAGGTGAGTATATTTTACTGTAAAAATAACGAATGTTGTTTTGTATACAGTTTTATAAATTTGGGACTAACATTGCTTAAGGACTGTATATATACTAGTTCTTGAAAAGCTGAAACACTGGCTTTGATTAGTTTTAGAAGATGTAGCCATAGTCTGTGCTAGCATATCCGGCAGAAACAAAAGAAAAAATAAAGATGACAAAAATGTGCCACCTTAAAGATGGAACTATTTAGCCTTAAATCCTAGCTTTGATTATGTGATTTTGGAACATGTTACCTAGCCATACAGATGTGTCTGCCTCATTTGTCTAGCTGAAATGGACAGTAAATTTCTGTTTGCACAGTCATTTCGGAATGCAAACAATGCACAATGTCACGAAAGAAAACATAACAGCACAATCCTGTATGAAATAACTTCCACAAAATTCAATGCTACTTAATCTTGTTTCTGTAACATACCATCTGAGAGTAAGCACTAGTGAATTCAGTGTTAGTCATTTCTGAATAAATATGTATGATTTCGCACAGTTAGTCCCATGCATATTTAAGATTATCTTGTAATTTAAGCTTATTTCTTTCCCTGTGCTATTAAAATAGTGTTACAAGTCATATACCGGTACTTCCGAGTTTGCTTATAAAACAGCTATTATGCAAGAAATCTACTTTGCATCTCGTAAAAGCTATGGGAATTGGTTTATAATACTGAAATTATTGTGCTAGAGAGTCATTCATCTCTTTGCAGTAATGCATAAAGATGAAATCTAGTGGTGGAGCACGATATATGTCTTCTCCTTATATTCCTTCTCTTCTGTTCCCATGGTTCAAAGGGGGAATCTCTGAATTCTGATTAAACTTATTAATATTATTTGTATTTTTTATATGAACAACAGTATTCAGAAAAAATTACTATTTATTATTTATTATTTATTTATTTATGAGAACAAGACAGATTTGTTGTACTCATACAGTAGAAGTCCATTAATTTACTATTTTAGATAAAGTTAGCATTTTAGGACAACACACCCTAGATAGAAATCCATTTATTTCAGTACCTCTATTGCTGTCTAATTTATCTATATCTCTTCTAGCTTTTATAATTCAGCTGGAATATTGAATCAGCCAATGCTGAAGAAAATATTATCAGGATGTAAAAAGGTATTTTACATTCAAAATTTGGCCTCTTTCCTAGATTGATTCAAGGAACTGTATGAGTATAGCCAACTATTATAATTTTATATAAAGATTTACATAATTCCCCCTCATCCTAAATAATTTTTCAAGAATTTTCAGATTAGTAGGAAAAAAAATTTGTTTCAGTTACTAACTGAAATAGAAAATTGTGAATTTTACTAATGGTGAATTAGGGGGGCATAAACCTTTTTATATATTTATACCATACATTTAGCATATAGTTTTTAAATAGAGGTTATTAATCTTACTTAATTTGGATTTTTTGACAGTCCCAAATAGATATTTTTCAATATTGTCTTCTAACTCTAATGATTCCCCATCAAATTAACATTTCTGCATTATATACATACTTTCCCCAATAAACCTCAATTGATTGTCTAAGTAATAATTTTTAACATTGGGTTATCCCTATGCCTTATTTTCTGTGGCTATAATTCTGGCTCCATGATTTATTCATTCCAGCAGCTCATTGAATTAAATGGTATATATTCTTTAGAGTTTGTTTTTTCTTGACTCTGATTAGTAGAAGTATGATTTGGAAGAGGTGGTTAACAATACATTTATATGAAACAAGCCACATCTAATATTCAGATTGATTTTCCTTTTCTAGACTGTGGTAGGATGGTACAAATTCAGGCGTAATACTGACCAGATCATGACGTTCAGAGAGCAACTCCTGCATAGGCATCTACAATCATATTTCTCAAATCAAGGCCTTGTTTTTCTGTTACTCACCTCCAGTGTGACGTCTTCAAGTTCATCCACTTACAAACTTGAATATGCCTTGCATAAGCCACAAGAGGGGTAAGTAACGTGAGGTGCTGTGTAACTTTACTATTTTGTTCCTTAGCAATGCTCTTGACTAGAAAGGAACATAGTCAAGTAAAACAGGTAACAAAATAAGCCTACGGCCAAAATCCTGCTTAAACAGCAGGAATGGCATCATTGTCAGCAACAAATTGTTGCTCATTAAGTTCTTCCTTTTTCCAAGTTTGAGATGAAACCATAGTCCTCTTGAGACAGAAAAAGGGAATCAGCATTTAGGCAGTGACAGAATCTGTCCAACAGAATTTCAGCCCATGTACTGAAATGGATAACTGATCAGTTTCTTCAGTTTATCTGCCTAACCCAATTGATATATAGAAAAACATTTCTGTCTTTGAAATTTGGAGTTTGTAGTGGAATTATTTCTTTCTACTGAAATGTTGCAGCCACTGCCTACAACCCTCTACATCAGGAATGAGGAAAGTGCTGCCCCTCAAATGTTCTTAGAATAAAACTTTCATGATCACAACCATTAACTAGGATGGATAGTGTTGCCAGGGAGTTGTAGTCCAGCATCTGGAAGTCCACTCATTCTCCACCCTGCTCTACGTAACTTATATATAGTCTTGTACAGGCTTAAGGCTGCTGAGGATCTTTGCGTTCCATTTGAAATCTAGAGATAGCTTACATGTTATGTTAGATTGAATTTCATTTTGAAGCCGTGATCTTGTAGGCCTCTATATGTGTACAGTTGACATACTGTTCAAGCTGCCATCTTAGACGTATTCGTACCTCATATCTGATGGTGCTTCAGAATGTTTATCTTAAAAACCTGAGTAACTGTCTCTTGCATAGCATATGCAAATACAAGTGCTGGCCATACTTTCATGGGTTAAAAAAAAAGGAACCTCATAAAACACAGGAACAACTTGGATTTTTCAAATATGGAAATAAAACAGCATTGCTTAAATTGGTCTAATATCTTTATCCTGTTCTCCTGCAACCATAAAAGTGCTTGCCCAGTGCTGTCCAAAACGACTTGTCGTGAACATCAAAAAAGCTAGTTTTGGTTTGTGGTCCATAAAGCTGTTCTTTCTTAAAATACTTCCCCTTGGCTTGCAGCCACACTTGCATTAGTACTATCATAGATGTTTAAAAGGAATTGTCACTTAAGGACTAAAGAAGTATTGTCGTTCTGGCTTTAGTTGTCTGTTCTTGTGCAAACAAAATACTTCGAAAAGCTTTGCATTATCTTGATTAAAATTTGTGGCTGAGCATTACTTAGTCTTAAATGACTGGCAGTGCAGTCTTATAGAAGGGGACAGAAAAACCATGATGGTTTATAAAATCCAAAACTCTGCTGGGTAATGCAAGCAGAGCAGAAGGGGGTGCCATCTCCCATATTTTTTATACTGGGAGAAATAGGATCGTGGCACTTTCCCCTATTCTTGTGTGGGTGGGGGAGCTGGAGGGATCCAGTAGATCGCAAGCCACCTCTGCCCTTCCTCCATTTTGCTCTCTAAACTATTGCAGCAGTAGTGGCTGCAATAAAGCGTTCTGATGGAATCGGCATTGTCACATGTTGATAAACCATCTAATAAAACTTCCCATGGTATTTGTATCAATTCTTTCATTTCTGCTTCTGTAAAGTCTATTTCAGAAAGTTCCACTTGTTGTGGCCAACCTAGGAATGGCAGAGCAGCAAAGTTACAGAACAGTATCTGGTTCTTGTACTTCTACTGGTGTTTGTAGAGCAATTGCAAAACACAGGTAGGAAGAGAAGATTTTCGTATTTTGTATGGCATTTCCAGTAGCTCTGTGAACAATCTTGTCTTTTATGGTTCATTCGGAATCAGAACTTAAATGTTGAAATATATTCATACTCTCCAATAAAAGTTCTATTCAACATTCCAGCTATACATTACTTCAGGAATAAATGATTTGAGGCTCAAATTCACCATAATCTCTCAGTTTTTGTTATACCTAACACTAAGTCCTTTATTTAGGTACAGTAGGATGCCCATATCCACTGGGATTAGTTCCAAACTCACTTCCCCCCCCCTGTGGATACTGAAAACTGCAGATAATAGTGAATGCTATATTGCACGGAAAAAGGAAAAATAATTTCTTGCATGCATTACCACAGTTGGCCACTGGAGAGTTCCAGGAACCATGCTACGTATTATTCACTAACAGGTACCATATTTTTCTGTGTATACAACCCCCCAAATGTTTACGAGGACCCCCTGATTTTGTCCCTTGGCGGAGGAGCAGTCAATGGGCAGCCGCGAGGGGCGGCTCCGTCTCCTCCTGCTGCTGCCTCTGCCGCCAGATCACATCACCGCCTTGTCCCCTGCCCGAAGGGAGCCTGCGAGTGGTGCTGGAGGAGGCAATCTGGTGGCAGGAGGAGGAAGCAAAGGAGCAGCTGCACTCAGCCGTCTCTCGCTGCTGCCGCAGCTGCCAAATCACCTCCTCCAGCCACTCGCAGGCTCCCTTCAGGCAGGGGACAAGGTGGCAACATGAGCTGGAGGTGAGCCCTGACGGAAGGAGGAGGTGATCGGACAGCGGTGGCAGCAGTCAGTGGGCAGCTGCAAGAGGCGGCCAAGCATGACTGCTCCTTTGCTTCCGCCTACTTCCATGTACAAAATGACCCTCAATTTTTCCTCTAATGATTTAGGAAAAAGTGTCATTTCATACACAGAAAAATACGGTATTCATAGCAGTCTCTGGGCTCCCTCTAGTGACCGGTTCTGGTTATATACATGTGAAAATAGTTTTTTCTGGATTTTTTAAAATATATTTTGAAAGTGACTGCTCCTTTGCTTCCACCTACTTCCATGTACAAAATGACCCTCAGTTTTTCCTCTAATGATTTAGGAAAAAGTGTCATTTCATACACAGAAAAATACGGTATTCATAGCAGTCTCTGGGCTCCCTCTAGTGACCGGTTCTGGTTATATACATGTGAAAATAGTTTTTTCTGGATTTTTTAAAATATATTTTGAAAACATGGATAAGTGAAACACAGACACTGATCCCGCGGAATCTACTGTACTAGATTTGTACCATGCAGTCCTAAAAATTAGGACTTAATTGTGCTTTTGAATGTTATTTTTGTAAATATTTTTCTATACTTGTGAACCTCAGGATCCTTAGGGTGCCAGTATTGCTTTCTTAAAGGCCTTATGCTAACTCCATTTCTGAAATGCTGTTCAGTACTGGAAGGAGCAATTAAAATATTAAAGTCCTATATGGGAAAAGAAGAAGATATGCATATGCACATTTTTAAAAAACATTTAAACACTTTGGTGTTTAAAATTGGAGTGTGTTTTGCCTGATTACCTTTACATGGCAATATCCTAAGGAGCAATTTTTGTAAGGTAGCAGTGCTTAAGGTAAGGTCTGCTGTGTATATCAGTAATTTTGGTATCAAATGTATGTAAACATCCATATGTAGAGTAACATATAGAGTAGTGAAATTTAGATACTTCAAAATCTACTTTACTAAAAGTTATGGGTGCAAATAGTAAATTCTAGGTTTCTTTTTGTATGTAAAGGTCAGAATTTTTTAAAGAAGATGGGACTCTAAAAGAGGTTCATAAGATTAATGAAATGTATGCTACTTTGCAGGAAGAACTGAAGGTAAGTTATGTGTTTTTGGATGACATTTACCAGGTAACGTAAAGCTTTTCACGTATATTTGGCAGCACTGTTAAAAAAATAAAAGTTCAGGCAAAGTGTCTTGACGTTGGGTGGCGTAAGTTAGAGAAGAGCGAGCACCACTTACTTGCGGCCCCTTCAGATGTAGCAATATGCCTCCAAGAAATACAATGATGAATGTTATTTGAGAAAGCCAGTCCTCTAATTGTAAGAAACAGAAATCTTATAGCACCTTTAAGACTAACTAGTTTTTATGTTTTCTTAAGCTTTTGTGTGTCCAAGCACACTCCTTCATATGAATAGCTGTGTCTCTGGGAGGAGTCTGAAATTGTTAGCAAAGAGAACCAACAATACGGCCTATTGGTCTAAGATGAAAAAAGTCTTTGACAGTTGGCAGTGATTGATTCGGTTGTAATGGTGGTGATTAATGTGACAGGGTAACAAAGGCCCCTTGTTAAAGATCTTCATCCAGGATCAACACATCCTCTCTGTCAGTAGTTTTTAATTCCTTCCAAAAACACAAACACTCCATTTGTCTGAATAAGTGTGATTCAATGCACAATAGTTTATTAAAATAAAAACAAGCTGATCATAGAGGTGCTACAAATCCTCTGGTTTCTCCTGTACAACTAACATAGCTGGCTAGAGTTGTTGTTGTTGTTGTTCAGTCGTTAAGCCGTGTCCGACTCTTTGTGACCCCATGGACCAGAGCATGCCAGGCCCTCCTGTCTTCCACTGCCTCCCAGATTTGGGTCAAATTCCTGTTGGGCGCTTCAAGCACACTGTCCAACCATCTCGTCCTCTGTCGTCCCCTTCTCCTCTTGCCTCCACGCTTCCCCAACGTCAGGGTTTTTTCCAGGGAGTCTTCTCTTCTCATAAGATGACCAAAGTAGTGGAGCCTCAGCTTCAATAGAGTATCTTCTTCTAATTATAGAATTGTTCAGAGAGAAACCATAATCCAGGATAGCTTTACTTTCAGAGGGTCACCTACAAGCAAGTTCTCTCTCATTTCTGCAGACATAACTACATAGCTGTTATTTAGAACATGTGTACTTCCGGAGTTGATAGCAAACATGCAGCAACTGAGGAGAATCTCAAGTACTGGACTCTGTTTCAGAGAGGGTTCTTGGGGCCACATTCCAGTGGCAGTGGGGCCAAAAGCAAAACGGTGGTCCCAAAACACCAGCCTATTTTTGTTTAAAGCTCTAACTGTCGATAACTAAACCACAGTGTAAGTATTTCAGTCATTTAGAATGGTGTAAAAATGTGAAAAGCCAACTAATAGTGTCATTAAAGAGTATGTAGTTGTGGGCCTCCAGCGAATGCTGTGGAGACAGATTGAGACCTTCCAGGGCCTGAGGTTCTCAGTGCTATCACAAAAAAATGCCTCAACCTGTGTTCCTTGATCTAGCTAGGGAGTAAACAGAAACAATTGTGGAATCAATGTGTAGATGGCTGACTGGTTTTACTTCACTCCCAGCTCAAGTGAGAAGAAAATTTGTATTTCTCAGATGTATCCCATGTTTATATGGTTATGAGTTACAGCATGTAGTTGATGTGTACACAGTTCTTGAAATGCAAGTAAAACCCATTACAGGTAGAGATGTAGACTACATCAGCAGCTAGTCAGATTTAGTAATAAAGCTGTTTTCTGGTAATTGTATACAGTGGACCCTCTACTTACAGAATTAATCCGTATTGGAACGGTGGCTGCAGGTCGAAAAGTCTGTAGGTCAAGGCTCCATTGACCTACAATGCATTGAAAACCGATTAATTTGTAACTGGCCATTTTTATTCCATTTTGGTTTTTTTTTCCCCCTGGTTTCCTGGTCGATTCTCCGGCTGCAAGTTGAACCTAAATTTTGCAGCCAGAGAAGTCTGTAACTCGAAAAGTCTGTAAGTGGAGCCATCTGTAAGTCGAGGGTCCACTGTACTAGTTTGGCAGCTGAACTGATCAGAACAGATTTAAGAGTGTGTGCAATATTGGCTGCCTAAGAGTGGTCACAACAGCCAGATAGGCGGGATACAAATAGAAGAAATAAATAAATAAATGAGATTTTTAAATGGCTTGTTGTACTTACTGCTTTGAAAATGTATTTTGGTGCTGCTTATATGTGTTTTTTAATTATGGTGTTTGATACTTTTTAGAATTTGTATATTTACTGTTGTTAGCTTTTAATATTGTCTTTCAGTAATCTGCCTTGGGTCCTTTTAAGGAGAAAAATAGTAAGAAGAAAAATAATTCAAATAAATTATCATTACACTTCTAAATTTTATCCACTAACCAGAGTTCCTTGGGCATTTGAGTGTAATGATGCAGTGACGTGTCCATTTTCTTTTCTTCTAGAATTTATGCAGTAAAGTAGTGGATAGTGAGAGATCAGTAGAAACCCTATTGGCAGATGTAAATCAACTGAGACAAAGAGTAAGACTCAAGAACGAACGGAAGCAAATTGCTGGTAATGTAAACAGTTAATATGCAAGAACTATGGTTTTAAAAATCCTTACTTTGTAGTAAATGTATAGCATACCCAAGATTAGACATTTATTGGTACCACTCAGAGACCCCTAATCGGTTGTTTCTGTTTTATGCTTTCACTTAGTTTTGTTTTTATATTTGTTGATGCTGCAATATAGACATTTCAGAAAAGCTTATTATAAAACCTTATTATCACTTCTTTTCTGAATATTTAGCTGGTAAGGCTACATGGCAAGAACCTGTGCCAACTTACACTTATTTATATGAGACTGGTGGGACCAACTTCACGGGTAGAGAAGCGCACATTGTACAGGTGGACCTCAAGTTTTGAAGGCAAGCTCTGGTTCCCAGGTTATCAAAGCTTCAGTATTCCCACTCAGTGGGCTGGAGACCAGTTTTGTGATGGGAAGAAAGTGTTGGAGTGTCCCCCTCCCCCTCATCCTGTTATCCTTGTCTACAATAGCTTGCCAAGCAGATGTGTGGCAGACTGACCAGAGAGCAATTTGGTGGGAAGCAACAGCATACTAAATTATACTCTGGATAGCATCAAGCACCTAGTTTGGTGGGCAGGTGTTGATTATTGATTCCCGTAAAACACCTATTTGGTGGACCAGTCAGATTGCCATCAGGGAGTGTTATCCTCCCTGTTTAACTCACACATCTCCACCTTCCAGCTTATTCGTGGCAAAAAAAAAAACCCTAAACAAACAAATCTTAAGCTGTGTCCAAGTAATTTCCAATATCTCTGTTCTATGGTTTTACATTTTCCCTTTGATTCCAGCCAGGATGCATCACTGGATTACCGCTGGTATTGATTTGCATCTCCATAGGTTCAGTTGCCACTAGGCATAGCTGCTTTTTTGGGGGGGCTCCAGATCCCAGAATCCTCCATTCTGAGAGTTCCATTTGCCACACCTAAATTGTGTACCTGTGAAGAAAAGCTGCACTGGAAGGTTTCATGGCCTAGGACAGGCAGAGCTGAGAGCCTTTCAGCCCAGCAGATTTTGGTGTGAGTCCAGCAGGTGAAACTCCCAGAACAGAGAATTCTGGGATTTAACATCCAAAACTGAGCGGTATGTGACTAGTTGCCACTTATTCCTGCAGATGAATCAACCACTAGGAGTTTTTCATATTTAATACTCTAATAATAGTAACAGTTTTGTGCCATCAAGTCTGTTCTGACTTATGACCAGCTTTTTCAGGGTTTTCTAGGTATCCTCAGAAGTGGTTTAGCATTCCTTTCTTCTTGGGACGCTCTAGGATCCTGTAGCTTGTCCAAGATATTTCTTAAAGGAGGCAGATTAGGAAATTAAATTCCTGAAACCTGGTTCTGCAGTCAGTTGTTCCCAATCTATCCCCTGCTTAAATTTTACAGAGGTATTGATAGCTACTTGCTTTTCTGACAAATGCAAAGGGAGTGTAGGTGATGCACTGGTTTTCCACATAATGGTATGCCAGCATTTCCCATTTTGCACATGGGTTGCTATATGCCTGTATGGCATGGTCTGCCCTACTTTTGTGACAGTCCTTTGTGACTGTGGTTAGAAAAATAAAACACCTTAATTTCAATTAGAAATTTTCAGGCTGTTCTTTTATGCATACCACAAAATGAGTTTTCAGAAACTCTAACCAGGCAATAAACTTAAGAAGCCAGACACCTGGATTATTTTTCTGGTCTATTTAAGTAGTTCTTCCTCCTGGTTATCTAGGGCACTGGTTCTTAACCTTGGGTTACTCAAGAGTTTTGGACTGCAACTCCCAGAAGCCTTCACCACCAGCTGTCCTGACTGGGGTTTCTGGGAGTTGCAGTTCAGAAGCATCCGAGTAACAAACGTTAAGAACCACTGATCTAGGGGGAGCATACAAAAACAAAATTTTGGATGGACCCACTCTTGCACACAGATTTAGTGCTAGACTAAGTTTAGCAATACATTCAAGCCAGCCTATTGAAGTGGTGTTCAGCAATATGTAGTGTTGGTTTTGTTTGTTTGTTGTTGTTGTTTTTGTTATTTATTGTGAGTTGGCATTTTTCAGTCTACCATAGCATTGGTGTCAATATCCTCTCCTCTGTCATTTTTGTGCTGTTTCAGGAAGGAATAAAAGTCATTCAGAGGAGCCAGAAGAGAATATATTTCTTTGTCAAGCTTTGCAAAACCTTTTCCCAAACTCTGGACTACAAACAAGCATTGTTACTCTAAAAGGAAGGCAGATTTCTAAGCAGTGTTGTAACATCAACCACAACATCGAAGTAACAGATCAGTTAACCTTAATGCTCAAGGAAATCAGTTTTCCTGAAGCAAAAACAAAGCAAGTAATTAAGCGAAAAGCTACGGTGAGTACAGGTGGACCAAAGCCATGCAAAAGGCTACGATCGTTCCGACTGCGTCGAAAGCTCTTCCGAGAAGATGAAGAGGACAGTGATCAAGAAACAAATGTTATGAGTAACCCCAAAGTAGATGAGGATGTACCAGGGGAGCCAGATGAAAGCCCAATGTCTCCCACTATCTGACCTTTTCTAGACAGATAAAAGATTTCCTCTATCCTGAGCAACTACTGCCTGTGTAATTTTCATTCTACATTAATACACGGTGTCTTGACAAATCCTTAAGATACAAAAGTGCACTGATCAAGATACAGAATAAAGTAGTTCAGAGCTCTTCCCCATCAAATTCTGCCTTGCTTATCTTCTCAGGGATTATCACTAGTGGAAGGTAACAGCACACAAACATACTAAGTGCTTGTGTTTGTAAGTGCTGGAATGAGAATATAACACAATGGCTAAAATCCTGTTTGTAGCAAAACATTTGACTTTCTGACCATTCCTTCCTGGTAGAACCACTGTTGTCACAACTGTCAGGGGTTCATGCTGGGTTAGTGCATGCACAAGCTCCTCAGAATTTCAGCAACAGTTATTTACCAGGGAGAAATGACCTGGAAACTAACGCTTAAATATTACAAACAAGATTTGAGCCTATGTCTTGCCTTCCAAGTGAAGTGGTAGCATTAGCAATTTAAGTGATACAGAAAGAAGATTCTGTTCAGATTATCATTTTATACCATATATTGTTTTTGTAATGCAATTATGTAGATGAACCAAGATTAGTAGCTAAGACTACATCATGATGAGCATAGTGAAAACCTAGTTTCAAGCAAAGATATAACAGCATGTTCTCTGTCATTCATGAAACAGCTGTGATTGGCTAATACCTACTGTGACTTGAACAAACCAATATAGTTTAAAAAGAAAACAACCTGATGCTTTCTAGGTTTGTGTCACTCGTTTAATCAGGCTGCATACCTTTTTAAAAGGACAAGTACTCAAAAATTTTCACTGCATTCTTTGTACATGAGGAAATAGGCTCATTGAGGTTTGTGGCTTGTTTATTAAGATTCTCCAAGCAATAATTACATATTATACAAACAGTTTTTATGCACAATACATACAATTCATTGTGGGTATTTAATATTGCATATTTTGGGGTCACTGCGGAACGTAGGGTGCTTATATGTTACTGGCATTAAACCTGCAATATAATAAATAAAATGTTTTAAAAACAAAACCTATTTTTTTAAAAATTGAACTTTTACATATCTCAAACTTACCCATACATCGGGATCTTTTAATAGCTTTTGAGATTGCCAGTTGTTTCTTTCCACATAAACCTGTCAAACCAAACAACCATTCTAAAAGCCACTTCCAACCATTTAAAAGGCTCAATTTATCCATTAATTTGAATTAAGCATTTAAGGTACTGGGGGGGGAACACTCAAAATATTACGAAGTTTTTTCTCCACTTCAGTTTTAGAAAACATGTTATCTAAGCTAACATAATAAAATGCCCAACAGTTTCTGGCTGGCTGTTTACATTGTTTAAAATTAAAAGAGGTGAAAGGTATTAGCACTGGATGTAAGAGTTGACATAATGTTACGTTTTTTATTACCTGTTATGTGTCTACCAAGCAGACGACCAGTATATGGAGAAATAAACTGTGATAAAAGCTGTTGGAGAAACGAGATGTTTAATTCTTAAAAATTAGTAAATGTTATCAGTAAATATTACTATTTTACACATATTTCATGTCCGTGTATGTTTATAGTTCTCTTAAATAACATTAACAGTGTTTTCTTTAAAGCAAATAAGCAATAACATAAATTAAATATTTTTAAATCCAGAAATTTTCTGATCTTTATGGGTGAAGATTTGCAAAGTGAAAATCTTAAAGGTTTTGAAAAGTTAATTTGAGTAGGGGGCTGGGAGCAATTTGTTGCAAAAAGTATGAAAGTAAAGGCCAACTTCAGATATGTATGAACAAGCAGGGGGAAACTTCAATACCAAAGATTTTCTTTTTATTGTTCTGTGAAGTCTTGGCACATTTCAGCCCCATATTACTTTTAGGGTCTTCCTCAGGGCTACAAGGGAACATTAGAATAGATTTGAAACTCTAACTAAAGATAATTGAACTTCATTAAAATACAATTAAATTATACCATGCAACTTAAAAGCAGGCTTTGAAGGAGTTTCAGAAACAAATACCTATAATCCCACCAAAATCAAACACTGAAGAATCAAAGTTACACTATTTTATAGTGAGAAGCACAGATGTCACTGCTATTGCCCTAGCCAAGAGCTTTATGAAATGTCTCTAAACAAAAGTCCTATACTAAATTTGTTGTAAACTCAAGAAACAGATCCAGGAAGTATCACAGAAATAAAATCCTGTGCTGGATTTCAACCGTATTAAAAAAGAGGAAGGAAGTCAATGTCCTCATTTAGTCCTTGAGGAATTAAGCATTTTAAATCTATGAATCCATGTCATCTCTTTTTTCATTGCTGTTATATACCATATTAACTTATCATCTGATGTTCTATACCTCTTTCTCAAAATTATGCACTACTGGGGTATCCACTTTCTCTTTTCAATTCTCCATTTTGTCCCTAAAAGTGGACCGCAGTGTTTATTAATGTAATTTTTTTTAACAGAGGCACTTAATGATACTGTTCCTGCATATGGAAAAATGTCATCGGACGTATTTCTTCAGTTGTCAGCATCTCTGAACTATATTAATCTGGAAATGTGCTTTGTTGTAAACACCACATCTGTAATTAGTAGGAAGCTGAGAAACTGCAGTAGTGATGTGTTCTCAATATCTCAGACTTTGTTTCATTCAGTTTTTCAAAATACAGAAAGGCACATTAAAGTACACATGAATTTACCTGTATATTCTTGTAGTCAACTGTTACCCCACACAAAATGCACTTTTTCAGAGGTTCCTTATAAGGATCTTCCATTTCTACAGGCTGAAATAGAAACAGTTTGAGCCACAGCTTCAACTCCTGTTTCTAATTCTCTGCAGGATACGAAACTTCCACTGTGTAGACTCTGTACCACAAGCCATGTCTGTTTTGTTGGAACAACTAACAAATGTGGTTTCTAGCTAGGAGTTAAGCCTCTTTGCAAAGCAGCACTTAGTCCTAAAACTAACTGTGCTTTTTCTTTTTTCGTTATTATTAAACAAATCAAGACACATGCATAAACAGTTCATTTTAATAATGCACAAATAGAAGCCATCTTCTATAAAAACAACAGTATTGTGGAGCTTTTAAAACTATCCATTTTTATTTGGTTTATATTTGTGTGGACTTCAGACATATGAAGCAAAATTGAAAATCCCAAACCTGTATATCGTTCAAGAAGCCACAGGTCTTGTTGTTTCTACTGCAAGTACTACTACTCCACCCCTGGAGAAATCCTCAGTAATTTTTTCCACTGCATCCTTTCACAACTGCATCTAAATCTATTACATTTTCTCATCCCTGTATATTGTCTTCATATTTCTAATATTGCCTGTTTTACATTTTATGTACAGAACTTCATTCCACTATTCACTATGGTCTCAATACACATCTACATTAAAAATCCAATAAAAATATCTAATTGTTCCTCAATGTCAGATTCAACTATTTCACTTTGATATATAAGCTAATAATTGGTCAAGATATGATGGAAAGCAACTGCTTTCATCAGACATTGAAGCTAATCAATGCTGGTATCAAAGACTAGTCTACAGTCCTTTGCCCTCCGGTATGGTCCAAGCAGTAATACGTTAAGTCTTACCCTCTCAATAAGCCTTTTAGAGACACTATGCTAAGCAGCAATGACTGGTTCAAGATAACTCACTGAATTAAATCAGGGACCTGAGGAGCAGTTGTCACTCAAGTACAATACTATACCTTAATTTGTCATGGTATATCAGATCTGTTATGCAAACCACCATACTGTCATTTCATTTTTAATCACAACTGCTGCTCTAGGCACAGTTATGATCCCCAAGATCTCCCAAAGACCCCTTCCTTTCTCCTTCCATGAGTTTAAAGGCTTCGTAAAATGTAACAAGTTAGATACCGGATATGCCTTCCCCTATGAGCAAACCTTCATTCATGGAAAATTCCTTCAACTGATTGTTAGCCCCAGTGCTATTACTAATCTGATACATAGGGGTTTAAGGAGTTGTTGTGTGGAGGTTCATGCCCACCACCCTATTTGCACTTGTCCAAGTATCTAACTCAGTGTTTGGAAAAGCCATTATCTTCTCTGGTGCTTCTAAACCATTTTCCAGCCTACTTCTTACTTTCTTATTCTGCCAAATAACCCAGCTATTTCTTACAACCCTAATGTTTTTCAGAGTTATGTAAACAAAGAACGCATAAGATTCAAAAGTACACTTACTTATATGATGGTTACAAAATATCTTACCATATCAGCCTGACTGGGAACTTGTTCAGTTTGCAAACAATACTTCCGATTCTGTAATATAACTGAAAAGAAACACAACCTTGTTAAAATAAACAAGATTAAGACCATAAATGAAGCAGCAGAAAATGGTTATCATTGGTTTCCATGGGTCAGTCTTTCTTCGTTTTCATTAGGAAAGGTTGAAGGGAGCAGAAAAAGATGAAGACCAAATACAAGATGGATTGACTCTCTTGTAAAAATGAACGCAAGAGCCTTCAATTTACAAAAGCTGAGCAGCACAGTTGAGGACAAACCATTATGGAGATCACTCTTTCATGGGTCACCATAAGTTGGAGGCAACTTGACAGCACATATCAAGATAATGGACAAACAACAAATAATGTTAGCAAAAACACTTAACATTAATTACATTGTTAAATACAAGAGCAATTTGTCACAGGCAACATGAAATAGTTATAGCTTGCTATATATTAGTAGATGCCTAGCTTGAGCTGCTATTATTTTGAAGATAGATCAAGAATGCACTTACTGTGCAGAATTATTTACAGTTGCCAAAGATAAATCATGCTGAATATATATGCCAGGCCAGACAAGTATGCCAAACCACAGTTAGGATTCAGAACACTGAGAAAAACCATTTTTACTGCTCTTGTTTGCCAGTATAGCAAAAACAGCAGCAGCCTCTAATACAGTTACTTGTTAAATCCAGCTGCAATGTTAGTTTAAATATTCCACTTCTGCCCCAAAGATTGGGGGGGGGGGAGGAACAAACCAATTTCACCTCCCTTTGGGACAGCAAAATAAAAACTCCAAATACCTTGCTATTCAAATATGCCATCATGTTGCACCTGACTTTAAATGACTCTAATAGGATTTTCAAGAAAAAAAACAGGAAACAGCCATATGGTCTTTCACAATACACAAACACAACAGTAGACAATACCTTTTTAAACAATGATTGCGCCATCAAGTGAATCCTGACCTACGGCAACCCTTTTCAGGTTTCTCCAGAGAGAGATACTCTGAAGTGGTTTATCCTTCCCTCCTTCTAGATGTATCCTGGGACTGTGCAGCTTGCCCAAGGCCACACAGACTGGATATGTTCGCAGGAGACATCATGAGAAATCAAACTCCCAACCACAGCCAAATACCTAAACTATTAGCAAACAACAAGCTTTCGAAGATAAAAGGTCCACTTCTTCAGGTTTATGTACCAATATTTGGTGGACAGTGCACAAAACAAATAAATAAATACTTTTTCAAGGGACGTGAGATACAGTATTCAAGAGGTGGTTTACCACTGGCACCTCCCAGTCATTTTCCATGGCCAAGCAGGAGTGTGAAAATAAGTCGTAATCCAGCACTCTACACGATGCATCAAATGCCCCTCTTTGTAACTTCAGCAGCAGCTCCAAAAGCCTTGAATAAATGGGCGAAACTTCTTCTTTCGTTGCGTTAATTTGCACTAAAATGCCGCACCGTTTGACTGCCTTTCCTCTCAGACGCCTACCCAGGACCCACTTCCTAGCTGCACAGTCCATCAAAGACAAGCGGAAAAGACAAAAAACTGCCCTCTCCTTACCTAGACCAGAAGCCCACGAACCCTTCCTTAATCCGGCGAAGACAGAGGAAGACCTCCCTGAATCTTTCGCCGTCCCAACCAAGCGAACCAAGGCCGCCATCTTGTTCCCACACCTTTAAGCTTCCGCTCCAAGCACGGCCGCGGAGAAATCGATTCCCCCTCACAACACTTCCGTTTCCGCGCGCCATGTTTCCGGCGCATGCGCTCTGGCGGAAGAAAAAGGGAGGCCGACGTTTTCCCCCCCTCGCGCGCTGTCAACCACCTTCGAGAATCAATCGCCGCCTCGCGCGAGGTCACGTGCGGCGCGTCTCTTTCGCGACACCCTTTCCCTTCCCGTTTCTGTGCTTTCTCGTCTCGCGAGACCCTAAGGAAGGCGCCGAGCGGAGTTAAAAAAAAAAACGTTAAGAGGGAGGAAAGGAAGGGGGCGTTGACGTCAGTCATTTGGCATCCTCACCCCCTCCTTTCTAGCCGTTGGTATAATCCTCACCTCTCTTGGAACGTTGTCCTGAGGAGAATTGGACGGTTCCTTTTCTTTGCCGGGGGGAGGGGGTGCATGGAAGAGGCCATGGAAGGGCAAACTTATCTGAGGCGAAGCGGTCGTGCCTTCTCTGCCTGTCATACCTTGGGCTGACCCCAACGATCGGCTATGTTGCTGCCTCATGGAAGGCGACGGGCTCTCCGTGAGGAGGACCCCGCGGAGGCAGACGCCGAGACGAGGAGCCGACTCGTGGGGCAAAAGGACCCGGGACGGGTCTGGCTCCGGTACTCCGCCGGCTCCCAAGAAATGGAGCTCCGGCGGAGGCGAGGGGTCTCAAGAGGAACCGGAGCCTGAGGTAAAAGAGACACGGGGGGCCCCAATGCTGCTGGAAGGCAGCCGAATGTCCAGGTGTTTTATCTTTCTCTGGCTGAGAATTAAAGCCTCTCGCTCTATTTATTTGTTATTTACAATGTTTTTACCCCGCCTTTCTCCCTGAAAAGGACCCAAGGCGGCATAATTGTTGACTGTATAGATTTTTATGACGGGCTATTGGCTTTATTTATTGCACTTCTGCTGGGCCTTTCCGCTACAAAGTAGCGCTCAAGGCAGCTTATAAACCTACTTTAAAAAAACACTTAAAACAATGAATGAAATCGTATAAACCTTAATGTAAAACCATTGAAATCAAATAAAATGCATTAAAAACGATTGTAGAGGGAGTAGCTGGGTTAGTTTGCCCGTGTCTGATGAACTGGACTTGTACATGAAAGCTTGCTTAAAAATACAGGTATAAGTCTTTAAGATGCCACCACGTTTATGCCTTTTTTAACTTTTTATTTTGTATTCACCTGTAATTAAAAACAATGGTACTCGACAAAGGATACAAAATCAAGAGATAGGCCAAACATCATAGTCTAAAAAGATGTATTTTTGCTCCCTTCTTAAAATCAGAGTGAAAACAGATCACAGCTCAGAAGGAAGTGTATTTCATAGTTTGGAGAAAGTCCTCATCCCCCTCTATTCCAGTACTGTAGATGGATGTACTATTTTACAAAATAACGGTAGAGATTCATGTTTTAGGAGCTTAACAGGAAGCAAGGATAAATAAGGAGAGGATATAACCAAGTTTTGTTACTGTTTTAGCAGAAGATACTGAAAGCTGCCTAATAAGAAATTGTAACACGGCTATTAAAACAATAGCATTATAACATAATTGTGCATTCATTTCAGCTGCATGCTATTAAAGAAATTGAGGCTTTAAAAAATTAACACAGAAAGCATGTAAACATTTAAAGTAGCAGTTTATTTGCAGTAGCATTAGAATAACAGTTTAGAGTAGAATCCTGTATACATCTAGCTAGGATCAGTAAAGAAACTGTGCAGGTGCATACTGGAGTGATATGAAGTTGGAGTCCTTTACATACTTACCTGGGACTCTGGGAGTAATCTTGTCTGACTATATTGGGAATTGACGCACAGTAAGCTCATGTCATTTTGTGTTCTGTAAGGTACCATGCACTCTCTCCAGATATTTAAAGCCAATAAATTGAAGCTTGAAATTAGTGTTTTGCGCTAGTTGTGAAGTAGTGTCAGGTGGAATATCTTTTCATTTATCACCAGTATTATCAGATCCTGCTTGATTTTATAATATGTGGAAGTGAGAGAATATTTCATTGCAGTTCTACACACAGTTGCTTGCAAGCAACCCCCACTATACTTGGCAAGCTTGTAACTCCATGAAAAGGAATTCAGGATTCCAGTACCTACCTTTAATTGTTTTTGTGAAAGAGGAAATTTCACCAGGTGTGCCTTGCACATAACTGTTACAGGCAAAAAGCCTTATCCCCTTACTTATGTGGCCACTATGACCATATTTTAAAGAGGTTATTTTAAATGAAAAAGTGGTTTCCCTCCCATCCGGTGAAGTTGTGTACATCAATGTTTGGCATTCTGTTAGTACGGTATATTTGTAAAGGTGAATTGTCCCCTGAGGGTGCAATATACACTGTGTTGCTAGGGAGTAAGTAGGAATCTGGGGGCAGTTCTAAGGAGAGACAAAGGACTCCTGGTTTATTACGCCTTCCTCAGTTCTAGGGTCTGGATGTGGGTGATCAAGTGGCAGGTATCTAAATCAAAACAACAAAAAGTTAAAAATCTAGAATTACTTCTGTTTCATGTTGCATCCCGTTTGACCCACAAGACTGTAAATCTAGTCATGCTTATATGAAAGTAGTCACATTTTAACTTTGTGGGATTTATTTCCAAGCAAAGCTATCCAGGATTTTGGAGGATTTTTGTGTAACAGAGATGTTCATTTATGGACTGCACCTCCTATAATTATAGGAATGTCCATGCTGCCTGAAGAACGTTAGGACTTGTAATCCAAAATATCTATATTTTATGACATTATGGCAGCATGAGATTACTTATGGACCACCTAGTCCAAACTTCTGCTGGATACAGAAAATCCAGACCTAGTTAATACCAAACAGATTTTTGTCTGGACTCTGCTTAAAGATGTGCAGTGATGAAGAGCTTCTTTCTTGCAGCTTTCTCCATTTTCAAGCTGCTCTTACTATATAGAGTAGAGAAGACCTTTGGGCTAGATGGGCGGGATAGAAATCCAATAAATAAGTATTTCTGAATATTTAACTAACATTTCCTCTTGCGTAACTTATGGCTAATGGATTTGTTCTGACCCTGTGATATGACAAAGAACAATCTTGCTGTCTTCTGTATGGTGACAGATTTTCAGGTATCTGAAGACTAGAACTTTCAAGTTCCTTTCAGCTTTTCTCATTAGTCTTGTTTACACATTCTTCCAATTATTTTTGTTACCTATATCTGAACCTGATCAGGTTTTCACAGAGAAAAAAAGATATTAGCATGGCCCAGAGACAGTTTGTACGCCATGTAGAAGTCTTTCTTGGTAACATAACTACCCTTGCTATATAAAAAGCTAATTATTTAAAAAAAACTCATACAGATTCCTTTTTTTCTATTTTCCTCCCAGTACATTGATAGTGAAGATGACATGTTTGGGGAATATGACAGTTTTTCTGGGAGCAACTCTTTATTGGCTGAAGTTAATGATATTGAACAAAGGTGTATTCAACTTACTGATGATGTGGATTCTGATAACTTAGATCACAGTAATGTCAGAAATGTGGCAGTGGCAGAGACATTTTCAGCTACAAGTGTTGTGACCAGCTCCGCAAACAGAAGAGAATATGATTTCCTGAGGAATGCAAAAGAACATCAGAATAGCAATCTAAAGCATCAAGATACTGATCCAGAGAATCTGCCTTCATCACAGCTTTTATTTCTTAAAATGTCAGATGAATGCTTAATTGGCTGTCACGAAGCAGTAAGTGTAAAAGAAGGTGTCTATGGTATGGATGACAATCTCAAAAAGAGCTCAGATCTGCTTTATTGTCATGAAACAAAAAATGTGGTAAAAGATAGTGAACCATATACAAGTCTTGTATCTGAACCAGGAAGGAGAAAAAGTCTCAAAGATTATCTCAAAAGAGAAATGACTGGAAATGCAAGAATCCCGACTCCACTGTTGTCTAAAAGTAAGCAGCTCAAAGAAGCTGTAGTATCTGAGGAGACTGGTGTTACTGAGAAAAGAAATGGCTCTTCCTTTATTGATATTGGCCCTTTCTATGGCTTACCCACCAAAGTCAAGGAGCTCTTACTACACTTCAGAGGAATTGAGAAACTTTATGGTAACAGCACCACATTGTTTGTTTTGATATTACATTCTGTTTAGTTCATTACAGCCTTTTCATTATGCTGTATGTATTTGTGAAACTGAATTATTTTATTTAGCGATTTGTACATTTATACATTTATCAAAACATTTTAAAAATAAGACAAATATAAATAATTTTCTTGTAGAACAGAGGACATAGTGGAAAAAAACAAGAAATGAAATTTCATTAACATATCCTTCTGGAATGTCAGGCAGAAATGGTACTCAGAGTTTGGCCATTGTTATACATCATTTATGAGATAAAGAAAAACTGTACTGTACTTTGTAATGGCAGGCGGAAATAGTACTGGCTGTCTTGTCATTATATGTCATTAGAACAGCTACAGTGTAAAGAAAAACTGCTTTCATTGGTATGCTGCTGCTCTCCCAAACAAGGGATTTTAGCCTATGTGGCTTTGGGCAAGCTGCACAGGCCCAGGGCTTCTCCAAAGGAAGAGAATGGTAAACCACTTCGGAGTATTCTTTAGCTGGAAAACCCTGAAAAGGGTCACCAAATATCCAAATTGACATGACCCGCCATTATTATTAAGTTATACTTGGAACAACAAGAATGTGCTCTGTTGTGCACATAGGTCACAGGGAACCAAGGGGATATAAACATGGAACAACATCACATTTTGGCCTAGAAGTCCAAAATAGCTGCCAGTTGAAACGTGTCATTGAATGTCCCTTTCGGGACTTCCTTCCATGGATAGCCTTCTGTGGTAAAGATGTGTTTCTTTAGTTTATTATAAAAGTTTTTGCAATAATATTAATTTTCCAGTGAGTTTCTGTATTTACTTGTACATCTCTCCAAAATATAAATTGTGCTAGGAAAAACATGTACCCCTTTTACACATAGATCAGTGAACTGTGAACTGTATTTTGGAACTCTTACGAATTCCATCATGTATCTTTGTAGTAGTACATCACAGTTATACAATATGCATTCCAGTAAGAGGTCTTGAATTGCCTTAGAGGCATCTAGTGATGCATGAGGCATTCAAATCCTAAGCAAGCCCTTTTTTTGCAATAGGAGATAAAGTGGTTGGGGGAAGAAAGGAAATGGAAGACAGATTGGCACACATTTATTTATAGCTGTAATGTTTTGACTCAGTGCATTAGATCCAGGCATCAGATAACTTACCTGCTGGCCAGTTAACTGCAACCCCATGGGTCAACTGGAGGAAAGGCACAGGATGGCTGTTAAGTGAAAGCCCACATGAGCACATGGCATCTTCTAGTTACGTACTTAAGAAAATACTCAGAATCAGAACAGTAACTGCAAGCACTGGCAGCTATTTTTAGCTTTAAGGTCCAAACTGAAATTTCTCCTCATTTATGTCATTGCTGCCACAAACAAAAGCATCTTCTTGTTTTACAAAGTACAATTTGTTTCATTTTATGAGTTTTACTTTTATTGATTGAGTCATCATCCTGATGCCATCTGAACTATATGTGTGTTAAAATTATTTAAGTCTGAACTTAGTTTTCCTCAAATGTCACATATTTCATGGTTTATATAACTTCTCTAAAATTCCAAAAAATAATTTTATCTTTATTTTAATTGTCTGCAGATGTTAAAATACAAGATCAATAATGTAAATAATGGCTTTCTTTTAATTTTACAGATTGGCAGCATGCTTGTTTAACATTAGAATCAGTGCAACAGAGAAAGAATTTAATATATTCCTTGCCAACCAGTGGTGGAAAAACACTTGTTGCTGAAATTTTAATTCTTCAAGAATTACTCTGCAAGCAAATGGATGTTTTAATGATCCTGCCATATGTGGCTATAGTACAGGAAAAGGTGTGAAATAGTAGCATTTTATATATCTATGCATCCTTCCCCCAGTCTGCAATACTGTGCACATTTTATTAGGAGTAAATTCCATCTTGGAACTTATTTCTGAACCGATAAGAATTCATAAAACTTGCTATTTTGAAATTCAGTGTGTGTTCTTATAATGAAAAGCTACATTCTTCAATGAAGTAATTTACAAGATTTTCTATGGCTTGAGTTTCACAATTAACCTTGTAATCAGGATCTGCTCTTTACTGTGGATGTCTCGTTAACATATTCTCAGTGTTGAACCAGAATCCTGCATGATCACTTTAGGGCAATCACATAGGTATTCGTGTCCTCCAGTAGGCAGCTTTGTGCTTTTGATCTTGCACTAGTTATATGATCAGGCATACACCTGGGGGCTTGCTGGAGGGAAAACCTGCAGGGCGTCTCCTCTTACACACAGAGAAAACATCAACAGGATTTCAGCCAAGGTGTACTTAATGTTACATAAGAAGAGCCCTGCTGGATCAGGCCAAGGGCCCATCTAGTCCTGTATTATATTAGTTTTATTTGTATGCCACATTTCTCCCAACAAAGGGACCCAAGGTGGCTCACAGCATTAACATTCAAACAAAACATAGTAAGTTAAAATTAAAAGCCAAATAATATATAATTTAAAATAAAATTAAAAGATTAAAACATGGAGAAGATTAAAATTATCTGCAAAACAAAATGATTTGTGGTTCATTTTTGAGTTCATTCTTGGGGGGGGGGGAACCACCCAGTCCTCCCACCTTATCCTAAAGCTGCTGCCACCATCCTGAGAAGCAGAAGGCCCAGCTCCTTGCATGGATGCTGGGCCTGTTTCCTGTATGTATGCGCCCACCTGTCAGCTGAACGGTGGGCACATGCACACAGGCAGCAGGCTTGCCTTCTGGAGCTGGGCCAGCTGCCTCCAAGGATGGCAGTGGAGATGGGAGCAGCTTCAACACTATCTCACAGTGGCCCCACCAGATGCCTCTGGGAGCACAGGAGACAACTAGATACCTGTGTCCTGATTACCCCCCCCCCCCGTCTGCCTTCTGAGCTACCTTCTTTTTAATCCTGGAGATTGTACATCCCCTTCATGGCTTACAAGCCATGGACCTTTCCTCCAGGAATCTGTCCAATCCCCTTTTAAAGGCCTCTAGGCCACATGCCATCACCGTCCTGTGGCAAGGTGTTCCACAGAGTAACAACACGCTGGGTATATTATTTTGTCTGTTCTCACTCTCCTAACACTCAATTTGAAAGTAATGTTCTTACATTTCTGTTGCTTTTCTTAAAGGTTACAGGGTTGTCAAGTTTTGGAATGGAACTTGGTTTTCTGGTTGAAGAATATGCAGGGAATAAAGGAAGGATTCCTCCAATCAAAAGAAGGCTAAAGAAATCTCTGTATGTTGCTACTATTGAGAAAGGACACAGCCTGGTGAATTCCTTGATAGAAACAGGCCGAATCAATGACCTTGGTCTCGTTGTAGTTGATGAGGTTTGCTATCAAATTATTGATGTTTTTTTTTAAATATTTAAAGTATTGTTAACTTAGGAATGTTTTTATATGCTGCACTGTGCTGTAAATTACATTAATGTAACCATTTTAATTGCTTTTAGCAGGCTAAAATGTATTCAAGTACTAGGGATTAATGTGCTCTGTTATGATATTAAAAATTATAATTTTAATGGAAAATATATTTGTGTTGATAATATAGTGGAGTAAACATTTTCTGTAATTTCCTGAGCTCCATTCACCAAATGTCAATTTAAACACAAAGCTCTTATATTTCTTTTAGAAGAAATTCAACTTTTGCAACAGAAAATAGAGGAAATCAGTTCTGACAAACTGTATCTGCAGAAAATACTAATACCCAGTTTCCCTGAAAATAAGCCCTAACCTGAAAATAAGCCCTAGTATGATTTTTTAGGATGCTCATAATATAAGCCCTGCCCCCAAAATAAGTCCCAGTTAAGTGAAACCCCACCCTCCACCATTGTGCAGCAACCAGAAGAAGATGACATGACTACAGTATTTGAATACATGTAGATTGTTGTACATGGAAAAAAAAATAAAACTGAGATTTACTATAGCATTGCAAATCACTAGAGTAACCTATCATACAGGAATTGACTCACTAAATCCCCATTGATAATTCGATTTATTACGTTAAGCAACAGGATTTTGGACAATGTGTATAAATCATTTAATAGGTTTCCTTAAATGCTGTTTGTAACTTTCAGTGTCTGAAATTCTGTTAATAAGTCACAACTAGAGTAGGCCTGTTTGAATCAATGGAACTTACAGAGGAGTTGACTTATCAAATCTTCACTGCTTCAGTGGGCCTAACCTAGGTTAATAGGAACAGGATTTTAGCCATATATGTCTCTGGGAATAAACTTATTTATATGTATGTCTCTGGGGAAAAACTCAGGCCCTTTCCTACATAGAAACTCTATACAGTGGTGCCTTGCATAGCGATCACTCCGTTTAGCAACGATATCGCTTTGCGATGGACTTTTTGCCATTGAAGAAGCGATCGCTTTGCGATGGTCCCTATGGGCTATTTTTGCTTTGCAATGATCGCAGGGAAGCGATCGTCGCAAAGCCTCCATTTTCGGCCAGCTGATCGGCGGTTTCAAAATGGCCGCCAGGTAAACAAAATGGCCGCCCCGCTGTGTTTTTGCAAGGATTCCTCGCTTTAGAGGCACCGAAAATGGCAGCACTATGGAGGATCTTCACTTAAAGGTGAGTTTTAAGCCCATAGGAACGCATTAATCACGTTTTAATGCGTTTCTATGGACTTTTTAATTTCGCTTAGCGATGTTATCACTTAGCAGTGATTTTTTCAGAACAAATTAACATTGCTAAGCGAGGCACCACTGTAGCTCCATTTTTTTAAAAGGACAGGTAAGTCATAGTACAGCAAGTATGTCAAAAGAATCTGACTATTCTCCCTGTCAATATTGTAAAATTCTTGGGATCCATTCTCTTGTTTTCTTGCTCTCATCATTCATTTCTATCTTTCTCTGTCTTAAAGTTGCATATGCTTGGAGAAGGAGGTCGTGGAGCTATCCTAGAAATAACACTTGCAAAGATTATCTATGCAAGCAGTAAGTAGCTTCTCTATAAAGTCTATGATTCTTGTGATCAGAATTACCTGTTTTAATATGTTCAGTTATAGAAATTTCAGGACTTCCTAAAACTGTAGTAGTATAATCTATAATACAAAAGTAGACATTTTAAATTTTTTAACAAATTCTCCTTGGGCCTAAAACAGGTTGGGAGGGCAAAAACAATGCAAAATAGTCAATCTACCTGCTAGGGAGCACTGGGGGAGAATTTCACAGTGAGGGATCCTAGGCTGACCATGTGTTAGTTAGGCATCCTTCAGTCTCGAAAGACTATGGTATCGTGCTCTGTATGGAGGACTTGGAGCAGCGTCTAGTGTGGCTGAGGAGGCCGATTCGAGAGTGACAGTCTCTTCCACACTGAAGACAAATCCAGTTTGTCCCCTGTCCAGCTCCCTGGTTTTGCTGCTTTTGTGACTTCCTCTTTGCCTCAGCCTGCTGGGCAAGGGTCTCTTCAAATTGGGAGAGGCCGTGATGCAATGCCTGCCTCCAGGCTGAACGCTCAGATGTCAGGGTTTCCCATCTGTTGAGGTCCATTCCTAAGGCCTTCAGATCTCGCCATGTGTGGCCCACAACATTAACCATGTGTGGCCCACAACATTAACCACACTTTGGCTTACAAATTGCATGTAGTTCAGAATTATTTCAGGAAAATAAAGAGAAATTCAAACTAAGATTCCAACATATCAGTGGGGTTGTTTTCAGTTAATAAACAGTTTGTACATTGGTTGTAGTGAGATTATAGCATTTGTTTTACAATGGAGGATGTAAAGGTGGTTGGTTGGTTTTCAAGGCTGCGTTTTTTGCTGTTTCAGGTTTTACAATATTGAGTACAATTAGTTTTTTAAAAGTGTATTAAGACTGCTTGTGAAATAGATGTTGTTCTTGGCACTGGGTTACTAAAGAAAGTGCCTTATTTTATTTGTAGTACAAGGTTCTGTGGTTTTTTAATGCTATTTTTGTTTGCTGTCTGATGTCCAGATTCTCTCAGTCTTAGGTTCTTACTCCAAAATATTCAGCAAACTATACGGCAATCTTCCAGGCTATATTATATGTTGTTATATTTTATGTAGAAACAACTCAGATAATTGGAATGAGTGCAACTTTAAGCAACGTTGAAGACCTTCAGCAGTTCCTGAAAGCAGAGTACTACACAAGTAATTTCAGACCAGTATGTATGTGATTAGAGGGAACTGTATTAACCATGCTTAAAAGTAAATGTTCTATATTGACGGAATTGTTTATCAGTTAATGATGTATAGTGATATACAGTAGTTGCATATTAATTAGAATTGTAGTGTATTGAAAAGGCATGCTCATTTATTAACTGCTTATACAATTTATTTGGTACACTATAGGGCTTCCGTTTGCTTGCAATAACAGAAAAATATTTTTACCTGAGAAAGAAAGTGCCTTCATTTGTTAATCTTTCATATGTCTGGTTTTATGTGGCCAGAATTCTAAAAACAGTGTTCCCTGCTAGTCACCATGGCAGAGAAGGAAGATGCATTTGTTAATTTCACTTAATGAAACAAAATGTAGGGGGGAAAAACAATGAGCATCATAATTCTAGAAATCTCAATCTGCCATTTTCAGGAAAGCACCAAGATTAGGTGCAGACCTCCATAGACCATGCTACTTTTTACATGTGGCTGATAACGTCATCTGAAAGTGTTCCTTCCTTTTTTGAAAGAACCTTTCTCCATTTCATCCATGGTTAAATGCATGAATGGGCGAAGTGCAACCTCTTAGATGTTGTTGAGCTAGAACTCCCATCATTCCTCACCTTTGGCTATATTGGCTAGGGCTGATAGGACTGGTAATCCAACAATATCCAGAGAGCTGCAGTTTGCTGACCCTGAGTTAATGTGTGCTATCAGTATTTGTCATAATTTGATTATTGTTTGCAACTTTTAAAAATCTAGGTCAAATTGAAAGAATATGTTAAAATACAAGACAGCATATATGAAGTGGATAGCAAAGCAGAAAATGGTCTTACCTTTTCACGTCTCCTAGAGTTCAAGGTAATGCAGATAAATTTGCAAAGTTTTGGTTTTCTGTGGATAGTTTAACATTCAGTTGTAGCCATTACAGGTAGTGTGGGTAGAAGGTGAGTCAGACTTTATTAACATACAGTATTACAGGTCACAGTTTATGAATCCCTATTTTCTAATAGGAACAAATAGAGGAGGCCCCCCTACCTCAAAATTAGGTGACTCAAAAAGAATGCTAGGGGTGGGAGAAGCTGAAGTGGGTTTTTATGTGATGGGATTTATGAGGTTGATTCTGATTTTTTATTTCACAGCTGAACATGTGTTCAGAAATGCTCTACTGTATTCTTAAAGCATATCTGGCTTAGTGAACTACACAATTTAATTTACACATGCATAAATCACTAGCAGGATTCTGGCCTATAAATGTGTATATATACATACACAAATGTGACAAATAATCAGATACTGATTTGTATTGTTGTTGTTGTTGTTTAGAGACTGATTGACTGTACTTTTAAGCCGAAGTTTAAATTAGTGTATAATTTGTTTTTAAATGTTATTTTTAAATGTTTGGTCTGATTGCAGTGAATTTGTTTGCTTTAAGCGTGTACAATTTGCAACAAGGCCCTGACATTAAAAGAGCCCACCAGCCAGAGCTTTCTATGTGGTGTACACAGCATTCAAAATGTAGGAAACATCAGTAAAAATAAAGTTGAGACTGAAAACTAAATTAAGTTGTAAACTATAAAAAGACTTTACAGTACTACAGTAAAATCAGCAGGAAAGAATGGCTGAAATACTATTGTGTGAATGATAATGTCACAGCTGTGGGCTTCTGTCGGTCATTGAAAGTGCCCTGTTCCATCTCCCCACCCCTAAAGTTCTGATGTTCCCTGGGGAAGCCATTCGGAGCCTTAGGACAGAGGTGGGAGAGGGAAGCTTTTAATGCCCGAAAATCACCAAAAGTCCCAATCTGGATGGCAGGACCGTTGGTGGTGATATCTTGAAGTTCTCAAAGGCTTCTCTAAAAGGCAGCATGAGGGAGCCTCAGAACCGTGGAGTTGAGGGGTAGAATAGGAAATTTTAAATGAGCAAGAAAAGATGTGGCTAGTGACAACATCAGCTTGTGTGGGTGTAAATTAATGCAGTAGAATTTCAACCAGAAAAACATTACATTAATAGTAATAGTGTGCTGTCAAGTTAGTTCTGACTTATGGTAACCCTTTTCAGGGTTACCATAAGTCTGGGAGCATCCTAGAACCGTGCAGCTTGTCCATGACTGCACAGGCTGACTCTTCTGGGATGCACAGTGGGGAACTGAACTCCCAGCCTCTGGTGCCACAGTCAGACTTTCTGAGCTTTCCAGCCAGTTAAAACATTACATTTTACAGCATGTAAAATCAAATTAGAACAAGCCTCAAAGTTAGAGTACAGTGATGTAAAAATGCTAAGATTGTTTTTAAAAGTTATATATAACTTCACGGTTTAGTTAATGACAGAGAGAGGACATGACTTCATTATAACTATTTAACAAGTTAATTGTGTGTACTGTATATATAAGATTGTGTGTGTGTGTGTGTGTGTGTGATGCTTTAATAGTTTAAGATACAAGATGTAATTCAATTTTAAAATAAAGTTATGTAATGTTTCAGTATTCCAGTAGTCTGCAGAAGATGGATCCTGACCACCTTATTGCATTGGTGACAGAAGTGATACCAGAGTACTCCTGCCTTGTTTTCTGTCCCACTAAAAAGAACTGTGAAAATGTAGCTGAAATGATATGCAAGCACTTGAACAGGTACGTTTCTTAGCTGCAATTCAGTCACTAAGTACTAATTTTTGCTAAGTACTAATTTTTATATACATTCAGTGACAAAGACTAAGCATGAAACAAACTTTTCTTGCATGTACAAATCCCTGAACCTGCTTAGTCTGAAAGTACTCTTCTTTCCTAGAGACTTCAAAAAGATCAAAGAGAAAGAAAAACAAGATCTTGTTAAAGATTTAATGGATATCTGCAGTGGAAGACTCTGTCCTGTACTGAAGAGAACAATTCCATTTGGAATTGCCTATCACCATAGTGGCCTTACCAGTGATGAAAGAAAGCGAGTAGAAGAGGCTTATTCTTCAGGCATCCTCTGTCTACTTACCTGCACATCTACCCTCGCTGCTGGAGTTAACTTACCAGCCCGAAGGTCAATCTTCAAACAAGCCTAAAATGTATTATTGTTTAATCATGTGCATTATAAGAAGATGAGATGGTTGGACAATGTCAGTGTCATTCTACGAACATGAATCTCACCAAACTCTGGGAGGCAGTGAAAGAGAGAAGGGCCTGGCGTGCTCTGGTCCATGGGGTCACGAAGAGTCGGACACGATTAAACAACAGCAAATAAGAAGAAATGTAACAATTTACTCAGTAGCTTGAAACCAGAGGAAGAGGTCCAGCAGCACAGCTGATAAAACGAGTTAGGTTCCTGAAATACCAGAATCTTATTAAACTGAACTGTCACAAAGAGCATTTCATACTACAGATGAGGGCTCATGACTGAATCTTCTTCCATTTAGGGGGTGGGGGTGGAAATCAGGAATCATACCTTTACATTTCTCTTACATACTGGTTGGGAATTATTTTTGCATGAAGGAGAATTCAATCATATGAGCCTTTGTCAGCAGTTTGAAATAATGAAGGTCAGCAACAGATCCATTATATTAATGGTAGTTGTTTAATATTATATCTGAATTTGGCCTATTTTGCTTCCAAGCTCAAGAACTAGTAGACGTTGTCTAGAGGGGCGGGGTAAAAATTGAATAAATAAATACATACATAAATAAATAAATCCCATTAACAGAGGAAGTATTATTCTGTAAATTCAGCTTGCCCTCTCTCTGTAGTATTTCTTCACTGACTATGAAGAAGAAGGGAATGAAGTCTTAGTAATGTGGGTGTCCATGTTTATAGATGTTGCTCTCAAGGTTTTTCTTTGCTGCACATTTGTTGTTTGCTCATTCTCATCTGATTCTGACAACACCATGCTGGAGAACTACTGTAGTTGTCAAGGGAGCATATTTCAGAAACACTGTCCTTTTAATTAAAAGACTCTATACTAAACTACTGTTTGCTACTTAGCCTGTCATTCATGGAGTGGTATGCACTTTAATATTTCTCTGGCATTTGTAACCATTTAGTGGACAGAATGCCATTGATACAATTATGCCAGCATAAACTAGATCTTGGCACCTCCCCCCCCCTTGGGGAGAAAAAGAATTAAAATTGAAATATATCTGTAAAGTATTTTCAATATAATTAAAGCATGTTTCTTGTTCTTCCTTAGGGTTATTCTAAGAGCACCTTATGTTGCTAAAGAATTTTTAAAGAAGAACCAGTACAAACAGATGATAGGCAGAGCTGGTCGTGCCGGTATTGACAGAGCTGGTGAAAGCATTCTTATAGTGCAAGAAAAAGACAGACAGCTGGTAACTTAAGCGAAAAAGAATGACAATTTTGAGACTTCTGAGTCGTCAGGATAAGTCGATTGTATAGTATAGGGAGGAGCTCAAGTTTTAAAAACACAAGCTTGTTCTGAAATAATTTGATTCTTCTTTTAGTAAGTATATTTCAGGGTAGTTTTCCATACTTTGTTAGGATAGCTCATCTCAGTACTTCTCCTTGGAAGCCTATAGTGCACTGGTTGCCAATATTAGGTAACCAGGTGTTCCTGGACTGCATTTCCCGGAAGCCGTCACCACCACCTGTGCTGGCCAGGATTTTTGGGAATTACAATCCAAAAACACCTAGGTTTCTTAAAATTGAGAACTACTGCCATAGTATGTCATAATTAAATGGCATATGTTATATCAGATTAAAAAGGGCAAAGTGATATAACATTCTGGCTACACCATTTTGCTTGTTTTATCAAATAAGATGCCCTGTTTAGGTAGGTTTAGAGTATACTTACAGACTTCTTGCAGAACAGTTTAGAGTGTACTTGCAGAAAACTTCTTGACATTTATTTTTAAAAGGTCTATGTTGCTAAAATCATTCCTTATCCACATCTGGTGAATTGAACGGAGAACCTGTATTCTTCCAGATGTTGTCCGGTTCCACTCCCAGCATGGCCAACAGTCAGGACTGATGGGAACTGTAGTCTAACAACATCTGGAGGATCACAATTTTTCTGTCTCTACACGTATGCTTGCTAAAATAAAAATGTTTACATCCCAACTGAAAAGGTTTCAGAGCTGAGCAGATCTAAAGATCTTCCAAGCTAGGAAGTATATATTTTGGAAAACATTCTTTGAAGAATAATATTTTTTTTATCCTTTTGCTTGTTTCTGTTTGAAGTTAATCTTTTTTGAAAAGTCATATCTTGCCTTTCAAAAAAAAACTTCTAAAACATGTAAACAACCACATTCTATAAATTTAAGAAGGACAGCATAAAAAAAGTTGTCTTGCAAGGTAAAAACTCAGATGTTTCAGTGAGTCAATTCCAGACATCCAATGTTTTTGTGAATATGTAGTCATTTTGCAATTACTGGAAAGTTAGGAAAGAGATACATGATTACACATTTTGAGGCAAATTATTCCCTCAATCTGTGGTAACCTCTGAGATGATGGAGAACATCACCTTTGAGGAGTGATATAATGTTTAAAACTTTATTTCCCTACTTGTATATTTCACTGATCCATGTTATGTTACTATTTTTTAAGGTTCAAAACTTAGTATGCAGCCCTCTGGAAAACTGTTATAGCAATCTTCTGCTTGAACAGAACAAGGGTATCCGAAGTTTACTCTTATCATTGGTTGGATTAAAGGTAATTCTGAAATTTTAATGAAGGTGATTGCCTAAAGTGTACATGAAAAGTGAACATTGGAAGAAAGGAAGTTTTCAAGTGACATAACAAATAACCCATAATTTTTATGTATTGACACTATTTTGCTTGCTCATTTGAACTGGCCTTCACGTTGTCTTAGTGTAGTATCCTACTACTTTCCATTACAGATAGCAACCAGTCCTGAAGAGATTTACCAGTTCATGGGTATAACCTTGCTTAGTGCCCAACCACAGCTTCTGCCTAAAGAAAAGAGCCTTTATGATGTAACTACAGAAGTGTTGCAGTGGTTAACACAACATGGACTCCTAAAAGAAAAAGTGAGCTGTGATTGTCTCCAAAACATTCAGCAGAATTTAGAAATCACTCCACTGGGTCAAGCCACTTACAAAGGTAAATGATTTGTCTGTTAAAGCTGCACTCTGGCACGATTTAGATAAAGTAAGAGACATTGTTCCTAGGAAAGCCGCATGGTGGGTTAAAGAGGTCTCCTTTTCCTCTTTTCCTTGTCATATATTTCTGGTAGCAGAGCCGTTATGAGCCTGGCAAAGCAAGTCCTTTTCGCTCTTTCAAGGCTTCTCCAAACCTATACAGCCGGGAGAGATCCCTCTGAATGCAGCTGCACTTAAATCTGAATGAATGTGTAAGACTACATATGGATGACGTTTCTCAACAGGGTGCAGAATGAGCAAAAATAGTGAAGATTTATAACCGTATCTCAAACATACGTCAACTGCGCAACTACATTCCATTTGTAGTGAGAGGCACATAGCAGCATTAGAACCCTTGAAATATGGACAGTTAATGGGATTTTCACTTTTAGTTTGCCATAGTGTTAGGAGCCCTCCATTTGCACATGGGTCACATTTTCCATTGTAGCTACTGATTTTATACTAAATAGAAAAGAAAACATGTTAGTAATCATCTTGGGCAAAATCCAAAGAAACAAAAAAAACAAGACAAAAACATGTGGCACCTTAAATACTATTATATGTTATGCTATGTTTATTGTATTGTATTGTATTATAGGATGCACCACCATCCTTTAACAAATGCTCATAAAAGCAGCAGTGCAGCCCAACGCGTAAAAAATGACAGTGCAGCTCCCAGCCCCTTTCTTGTCTTATCTGATGTAATTTTAAACTGATAGCAAACAGCATTGTCTTTATCTTAAACTATATGACTTTACTTTACTTGACTTGATTGGTAGACAGAATCTTCACCTGGAGTAAATACTTCCTGGTTTCCATTCAGAAATTAACCCAGTTTGATTGGGGAGGATTTACTGCTAAGCGGGTGGATGGGTGGGTGGGTAGAATATCATGGGGAAATACTTCAGTGGGTAGTGAAGTTTAAGGAGCCGTCAGACACTCTCGCATCCTAAGTTGCCACATCACTCAGCATCTTCTCAATATCAGACCAAAAGAACATGTACATCTACAGAATATTGAGCCAAGTATATTTGTTTTTAAATATATCTTAGGTTCTGTCGATTTGACATATTGTGACACACTGTATGCAGACTTGAAGAAAGGGCTTCAGGGGCTAATCCTTGAAAGCTACCTTCACTTACTCTACCTGACAACACCTTATGATATGATATCTCAGTGTAGTCCAGATTGGATGATCTATTTTAAACAGGTAAGTTTTCCTCATTCCCCAAAATAAGAATATTTGTTCTTAGTGTCATTTGTTATCTCCTCTCTGTGTCTGAGTTTAATGACAAGAAGCTTGGTTAATGGTCTCTGTGGAAATAACTGAAGCTGTGTACAGGTATTGGGAGATGAAGACATTGAGTTTTTGGGCCATGTCTTGCTTGAATGTCACCTCCACAGAGAAAAATGTAACAGACTTCTGTGCCCCATTATGAGGAAATGCCCTGCAAAGCCATTTACATGGTATTTGGAGTTTTTGTTGGCAGGTATAAACCAAACAATCCAAGTCTGTGGCTTAAATTTTGTTTTCTGTTGTAAGATTTCATAAAAGACTGTATTAATTTAACAGAGTGCTTCTCCTAAATATGAGTATGTTCTAATAATTTTGTGTGTGCTTGTGTGTTTGTTTGTTTGTACTGTTTTAATTTTTGTCCTTGATGGCATAATAAAAAGAGTGTGTGTGTGTGGTTTTACTACACTCATTGTGGTGTAGTGGATAGAGTGATGGACTTGGATTCAGGAGATCTGGGTTCAAATCCCCACTCGGCCATGGAAACTCATTTGGGGAGCAGAACTGATAGAGCTACTATTTAAATATATGAAAGCCCTAGTAGGGTCATTATAAATCAACTCAGATTTGACAACACATAACAAAGGAAACATTTTATTCAGTAATAAGCCTGGCAAATCTTGAGATAGATTCCATCCAAGCAACAGTGTAAAGCCCATGTATGATAGATCCTTGAATACTCTGTTCCATATTGCTCCTTGCCTGAACCTAGGTGGGTGTGTGCAACACAATACCAGAGCTGCTTGTATCAGGGAAAGGTCTATAAGAGAGTTATGTATATACTTTAGGGAAAGGCCTTTGGTTGCACATACGAAAATGCTCATGTCAAGTTAGGGAGGAGAAACCAGAAACTATTAGGGTTAATGCCAGTTCCACCTCGTATTTATGTATAGACTGATCATGCCCTGGTTGTGGGCAGGGGGACATAGTTTAATTATTAATTTATCTGACATATACTTAATTCCAATTTTTAGTACAGTCAACTAAGTCCAGTAGAACAACAAGTAGTAGACATTGTTGGAGTGCCTGAGAGTTTTATTACAAAAAAGGCTTCTGGACAAACTATCAAAAAGGTAAGAGAAAGATATAATATGTGAGGTGGCTGGATATAATATGGGGGGTGTGTGTGATTCTTCATTTGCTTATATGATCAGAGCTTTGGATTTGTAGAGCAGCTGTAATTACAGTGGTGCCTCGCTTAACGAGCGCCCCGCTGAGCGATTAAATCGCTTAACGAGGGACTCTGGGCCATCGCTGGAGCATTCGCTCAGCGATGGCCCTTATGGCGTTTTTTCGCTTTGCGATATTCGCTAAGCGATTCGCTTAGCGAATATCGCATAACGAAGCGGGGGAGAACAGCTGATCGGCGGTTCCAAACTGGCCGCTGGAAGGTCCGCGCTGTATTTTCGTGCCCTGCCCTCGCTTACCGAGGGCGCGAAAATGGCGGCGCTATGGAGGAAGATCGCTTAACGGTGAGTTTTAAAGCCATAGGAACGCATTGAACGAAGTTCAATGCGTTTCTATGGCTTTTTTATTTCCATTTAGCGATGTTTCGCTATAGCGAAGGTTAATCCGGAACGGATTAACCTCGCTATGCGAGGCACCACTGTATTCAAAATTCTCTCCTTCATTCCCTCCTCCATTTTTGTCTGCTCATTCGTTTTTTCAATCCTTCTGAAGTAATAATTTCACTTATTACACACAGGAATTTAAAACATTGTAACAGTTCCTGAGATATACTTCAACATGGTAAATATAGGACAGCTTCTCTGAGCTTCCTTCTTAGAATACACATATAAATTATATTTAAATAGTTCAGACTGATAGTTGAAATTAATCATATATGAAATGTTAAGTGACCATAAAAGTTTTTCTGAATGGCAAAGTACCTGGAAAAGAATGCAAGAAAGTGGTCTTATCAATGTTCTAGTAATAAAATTTATCCTTGTACCATTGCATTTTGCTTGTATCTGAAATTCTTGGTTGAAGGTTTGTGCTGTTAATGCCTCTGTTAATGCCAAGTTGCCTGTTAGTGTCTCCTGTTAAATAATCACAGGAGTTCAGACAACAGTTGTGTTAGTTTAGGGAAGATGAAACATGCAAAAGGGTTTCATTAAATTGCTTCTTGTATTTCATATTAAATTACTGTCTTCTTAGGATGTGGATAGCAGAAATGTCAGTAGACTTTATTTATCCTTGATTCTTCATGCCTTGTTAAAAGAGACCAGCATATGGAATGTCGCTGAAAAATTTAATATACCACGAGGATTTGTTCAAAGTCTTCTTAATTCGGCTGCTTCATTCTCTTCATCAGTTCTACGTTTCTGTGAGGTAATATAAGGTACCTGAATGCATCACTGCTAAAACACAAGAACATTATTCTTCATTTTCTTTTTTAAAATTTTTTCCAAATGCTCTGATGAAATTTTCTAATTCCAAAGCTGAACAAAGGGATCCATATTCAATATATTAAGTTGTTTACCATGATTTCTATTTATATAGATTCATTAACTAGGTTCAGTGGGACCCAAGTTGTGGCTAGCCTAAATCCCACTGACTTTAATTGGTTCATTCCAAATATGAGTATAGCTGGAATTTACCCACTCCATTGCTTCCGTATGGAGAACTCTCAACCTGAGAACAAAAAACTAAGAACCTTTGTGACAATGTCTTATATATTGCAAGATAAAAAGCGTTTTAAAGAACCATTGTAACATCAGTTAAGCGTTGTAGCAATAGTTCATCATATTGACTTCTGTTGTTGTCTGTTGCAATCATACTTGCATTTTAAGAGGGTGTTAAAAAGTAAGTTATCTCTTTCCAGTCTCCTGGTTTTTACTGTGTGACATTACATCCTTGAACACTACTTTAGCTGAGGCAAGTGAAGGCTTACAGGAGTTCATGCATATCTTTCTATCTTCTAGAACCTTGGAAAGATTTAGCAAGCAGTTTTCCAAATAAAATTAATCAACAAATGTGTTTCTATGTTTCTATTTTATTTATTACAGGAACTGGGTGAATTTTGGGTTTATAAAGCACTGTTGACAGAACTTACAACGAGATTGACTTATTGTGTAAAAGCAGAGCTTATCCCTCTTATGGAAGTGACAGGAGTTTTAGAGGTTAGCAAACTCAATTTTTCAGAAAAAAATATTTCCTGAACTTTCTGTGAACACCTTTAGTACAAAGAAGCCAGGTAAATGATGCAACTGTATGATGCCTTAAAATTGAATTTTCATTTAAAGATGACTTTTGTAATGTCTTCAGAATGACCATTATTGCCTGAGAGCTGATACAGTTCTTTTACAGGGGAGTAAGTTTCCAATAAAAGAGCAGTACACATGCCGGCAACCCAAAATGTAATTCCTGTTACATTACAATGAAATATACTGTTTCCCGTGTTTGCCCTTCTTCGTCATTAAAGCAGCAAGTCTCATGTTGCTACTGTAGGTACATGAGATCATATTCTTTGGAGTTTAACATGGAGACAGTTTTTTGTGGCTATTTAATGTAGAGTTTACTGTGGAAGTTTGCTGTGGGCCTTACTGAGGGAAGTTACTCTAATTTTTAGAATGTGCATCCATGTGTCTGTTTGTGCTGTAGCACTCAGAGAGTGAAATATAAGACCTTGGAAACTTGGCATAAATAGTAAGTGGAGATCATTTTGTTTTAAAGTTGATCCATTAATTTTTCGTAATCCAAAATTCTCCATAGCTTACAATACCATCTCCAATCCCTCAATGGCAGATATCCCTAAGCTTTGCTAGCGACAGGTCTCAGGTACTCATTTGACAGCGGTAGCTGCTGCCAGGGTCTCCAAACTCTTCAGACAAGAGAGAGAGAGAAAAGGTGGTGGTGCCTGGCATGGGAGGGGAAGGAGAATGAGAACAAGTAAAGGATGCATGGACACTAGGGCGAAGAGAGATGAAACATACCTGTACAAGATTTGGGATGATAGGGACCACTAATGTACAAAAAAGGCTGGTGTTTGAGAACATCTGATAGTCATCAGAGATTGTACAAGTAAGTGTTGAGCAGGGATGGGCAACTTGTGGCCCTGCCTGGACTGCAACTCCCATCGTCCTGAGTCAGCAGTTAGTGGTGAGAGATGATAATAGTTGTCCTCTGAACATCTGAAAAGCCACGAGTTGCCCACCTTGATTGAGAACCATGGTGGTAGCTCTCTCCCTTAATTCGTTTCTTGTCTGCTTTCACAGGCTCGAGCCAAACAACTCTACAACTCTGGATATAAAACTTTAGCACACTTAGCTAATGCAAATCCAGACCTGCTGGTGAGGAATGTTGCACATTTATCCCGACGTCAGGCAAGACAAATAGTTTCATCTGCAAAGGTGATTAAAATTGCTATGAAAATATTAGAAAAAATATTATTAAATAGTGTGGTGGGGCCCACACTGGTGCCTTCTCCAGGCCTTGACATACATTCTGTGCCAGAATGCTTCTCCAGAAGCATCTAAATCAGTGATTACTGACCTTTGATGCTCCAGATGCTTTCGAATTCCCACTGCCAAAAGCCCAGCTAGCATGGCCAATGATCTGGGGAATCTGGGAATTGAAATCCAACACATCTGGAGGCCCATAGGGTAATACCACTGCTGTTTCACTGTCTTCAGGGCTTTTTAGGCTGGGAAAAGCTCTTTGTAGAAAGAGAGTCAATCAGTTGTCACTTCAGGGTTTCAAAAAATGGTCTTTATTGGCCCCAGAAAAGGAGTAATATTGCGTTCAGAGAGTAAACTTGTCCCCCATAAACCATTTGAAACACAGAAGAAAATTAGGGAGTGAGGTTCAAGTGGTAGTGTCGATCACAGAAGCTGTACTGGGGTTCTAGTTTATCCACCATGTTCTAAAGGAAGGTCTAGATTAGAACAACAGAGAAGCCCCTTCTCTTTTAGAATACAGTGCTACTGTTGTCAGCTAAATTTACCACGGAGTTTGCATAGTTACAGAGAGCAAGACAGCCATGTGTTTGAGCCAAGATAATATTGTCCTGGTTTCCTGAGGGAATTAAGGACACATTGAACAATGGACAGATGATATATTTGAGGGGGAAAGAGTGTGTGTGTTTTCTTTTGGGGAAATGTGTTGAATGGTGCTTACTGAATTAAGCATTTTGTTAGCAGTCTAATAACCATGGCATTTAGGTGCATGTAGAAGGAAGCTCATGTATCGAATGGTTCATTGTGGATTGCGTCTTTGCACTTGACAGAGATATACATTGTACCTCTTAGCCGGTTTTCTGGCAACAAGGGTCCCCATGCACATTTTATACTCATCACAACAGTGTCTCCAAGCACAATAATTTTGTTTTATGTAGGATTAAATGGCATGCATTCAATAATATGAGGAAATGTACATGACCCTACTTGACTTGATGGCACACATATTATTACTATAATGATTCCACTATATCGTTGTATAGTATGCAAGTATACTGAGATTTACGAGTGAGGATTAAATCTAATCCTTGCTCATCTTCCAGTCACTGCAAATCAAATCAAGCCTTGATTTGCACAACCCCCATTCTGTGTCCAAATCTCACACTAATGTGACAGGAATTTGGAAGTTAGTCTGTTTGTGTCTGCATTTGTTGTATATGAGACAGAAAGAGAAGAGTTTATTATATGTATTAGACAAGTCATTGTTTTGGCAGTTACATTTATTGCAGGAGGATGAAATATACATCAGATGTTTGCATCATGTTTCCCCATTGAGATACAATGTATAATATCTTAATAATTTGACTGGTGATGCTTGTCTTTTTATGCAGATGCTCCTGGCAGAAAAGACTGAGGCTTTACAAGAAGAAGTTGAAGAACTATTGAAAATACCAACAGACATTCCTGAAAGCTCTTCCATATGAAACACTCTTCCATACAAGTCTAAGCATCAAACTGTCATTTTCTAATCAACCTAATGTTAGTAATGTGCTGTATATGCTGTATATATTTGTATATAAAAGTAAAAAAATCTTTTTGAGGACTCCTAATTATTACATAATGGAAACAGCACAGCTTATCAAACTGTAACAGGGTTTTTTGTTGTTACCATCTTGCAAACAGTACCCTGTTGGATATTTTCACATATGGAATTCCATCTTCAGGTTTTATTTATTTATTTCATTGATTTTATGCCACCCCTTTTAGTGCTGGAGCACTATTCTTGGTGGTTGACAGTCATGGAAATAACCTTCTATTCTAATTGCTAACCCCGATGCACTACCCCACTAGAAGCTGCTGTGATGATGCGATAAGATACCAGTCATCTCTGGTCATGTGCCTGATTACGTGTTCCAGTTGTGCTGCCATGTCAGCTTTCCAACTGAAGTTCTACATACATAAATATTGAATAGGATACTCCTTTCATCAAAAGCTGTTCTCATTTGATCTACTATATACTGTACATATGGAATTAGTCCCCCATCCCCACAAAGCCAGATCCATTTTGAGGTCAACATGAACATAGAATACTAAAAATTGTACAGATACCATTGGCATTATTTGCCTATACTGAGCAAACTAAAATATCAGATATGCATTTTAATAGCTTCTTTAAAAATTGCTTTTTAAGATTCTGACAACCATGGTTATGTCAAAAGTCTATGCAATGTACTGAAGCTTTCATTGGGCACTATGTAAATATATTCAATGTACCGTATATAATTACCAGACTTTCTGCTGTGCCTATTAGCGACTTTGCTTGGGCTTGCAGGTCTGTCTCAGCTCCAGTAGTAGAAATCAAATAACTAATTATGACACTGATTGAACCTGGTGTGCTAATGGGCTTGTTTTTGTCAGTTTCAGGGGATTATTTAGTATGAAATGATAAAGACGAATAGTATGGGGATGGTAGAATAAGCATGTGTCTAGTAAGATTAACCTGTGTGAGGGCTGCAGCTATAAAAAGCAGATAATTCAGTCAAATTGCCTTGCTCAACCATGACCATTCTAGAGGAGCAGCTTGTGGACCAAAACAGGAGGTTGCCTCACCCCCAAATTTTGTGGAATTCACCCTAGTCTGGACAGAAGCTGCTCCCCTTTTGTGAAGGGCAGTTTTGCTTCTGCAGCAGGGACTGTTCATGTAAATCTGTTCATCATGTTTTCTTCTATCTTTCCTGACAAAAGTAAAATAAACAAGTAATGCAAATATGTAGGAAATAAATACTGTACATAAACTATTCCAACTTGCATGGTGTGTCCCAATAAGCATGATGTGGGTTTCCTGTTCACCTGTTTTTTTGAGGAAGCAGCTTGAGCAGAATGAGTATGTACCTTTTTTTAAGTTACAGTGGGTTCTTGACTTGAGAACTTAATCCGTATTGGAAGGCGGTTCTCACGTCAAAAAGTCTGTAAGTCAAGCCGTTTGTAAGTCAAGGGTCCACTGTACTAGAATTTCCAACTAGAAAAATTATACAAGAGTGCAATGTGTTCCTCCATGCCCTTAAAATAACTTAGGAAATAATTCCATAGCCTTTCCAGTGGTAGGTAGAGTGTTAAACTAGAATAGAGAGATCTTGATTCAGATTATGTGGAGATATTTGGAATAGACATGGGAATACATTAAAAAAACAATCACAATATTTGATAAAAAATTCTGATCAAATGAATATTCATTCCTTTGTATTTGTGAATTCCAGAGACCCTGAAGAATACAAAGGGATTAATATTTCACCATTCGGTGGATTTACACTTATGAGAAAATAATAAAGAAAATGTATACATACCTATTGGAATATGATTTGGAGGATGAGAGGATAAAGGAGAGAATGATAAAATGGGCAAGTAACTTTGGTTATAATATTGATCATTGGACAATGGTGTGGAAAGAGTTTTATAAAATGATTAAGCCAGTAAACTTAAGAGAAAATATCCTCCAAATGTTTTATAGATGGCACTACACCCCTGTAAAGCTGGCAAAAATGTCAGAAGGTAGCAGCAATATTTGTTGGAAATGTAAAAAAAAAAGTAGGAACGTATTATCATATGTGGTGGACATGTGAAAAAGCCAAGGGTTATTGGTTACAGCTGTGGGAAATAATAAAAGGAGTCACTCAACAGAAACTAAATTTTAAACCTGAAATAGCACTAGTAAATATTATGCCAGAAATTACTGATAAGAAAATTAAATATTGTTTGATGTATATACGTATTTGTAGCAGCTAGGTTACTCTCGGCCACAAAATGGAAAAGTGAAGATACACCTATGATGGAGGAGTTCCTGAATAAGCTGTTGGGTATTGCAGAACTAGACACACTCTCAGAAGCACTACGAGAACAACCAAGGGACTATGCAAAACAAAGCTGGAACTTAATATATGTTTGGGCCCAGGGACCGATCAAAGCTTAGGGCAAAATGATTTATATGTGGGTTTTTTTCAATGCCCTCTGGAAACTTGGGAAATTAGAGATCAAAACTTAGGGCAAAATGATATGTGTGTTTATTCAATGCCCTCTGGAAACTTGGGAAATTTAGGACTTAATGAGGTTGGAATCTGTCCTCAAAAGGGGGAAGGGGGATAATTTTTTAAATTTCTTTTTCTTTTTTAAAATTTTATACTGTACTTTGTAGTTTGTAGATTAAATTTTATACTTTACTTTGTAGTTTGTAGAATTATATGTTGAAATAAAAAAACTATTTAAAAATATTTCACCATTCGGCCCCCATAGACTAGCCTTCCCTTTCTGCCTATGGGCCTGCTGAATAGCTGAATTCTTGTTACCAGTGATTTGGCACAGGTTGAAGGGAGGGAAAGCTAGCCTTCCCTTTCTGCCTATGGGCCCGCTGAATAGCTGAACTCTTGTTACCAGTGATTTGGCACAGGTTGATTGAAGTAACATGTCACAAGAGCTGCAGTACTCTACTGGTTCATGTGGAATGTCAAGCCTATTTGTGAGACATGAGATACAGTAACTGTAGAATTTGGGCTAGCTTGAAAAACGCCCCATGTTCCAAGTCCTTGTGCCTCTTATTTACAGTACTCTCCACACACACTATATTCTTTGTGACTTTCAGTGCAGAAAACAGATCTATTTCATGCACCTATTAGACCAGAGGGGGCAAAATGCAGCCATCCTGATGTAATTTCCATCAGCATCACCATGGCCATGGGATTTTAGTCTAGCATCTGTGGGAGGCTCCTTCTACTGGCCTCTGTGCTAGAACTCCTAGACTGAAGAACAAACTTGTTTGTTGTACAGATGGAGAAAGAGCAAATCTAACTGCAAAGTTTGGGAGAGGGAGGGAGAATACAGTTGAATTGCAGAAAAACCACTCCTCAAACATTTCATTCTCATAATTCGTTCTCTATCGATATTTACACAAACCAACCCCTAGTCCAATTTTTTGTAGAGGTGGGATGTTTGTGGACCAAAGGGGAGCTTGCCCCAAAATTTCATTTCGTCTCCCAGCTGCGGTCAAATCTGTGTGGCAGCCACAGAACCCCTGTTCCCCCCGATGCCTGGCTATTCTGGTGGGATGTGATTCCCCCCAATCCCCTTTAAAAGAAAGGAGTCTCCCGTCGCTTTGATGAATCCTCAGTAATGGCACGCTCATTATTGCCTAATTCAGGGGGGGTCCGGTACTCCCCTTGTGCCAAAGACAGCAGTTGATGCCAGTGGACAAAGTCGGGGTGCCCGCTGTGTGCGCAGAGGAATCAGGAAAGCCTGTGTTTGCCCCAAACTCTGGCCGCCCGTCATGCCTGCCCTTCCCTCCTCTCCCGCAACGCAAGGATATGCTCACTCTGTACATGCCCAGAGACACTCCCGCCCTTGCCCCGAAATCCTGAGGCCAACATTCTCCCAGTGTCGGGACGGAGCTGGTAGTGATGGGGGGGCGATGTCTGCTGAGCGTGGCTGGAATCCCACCCGGCCTTAGCAGGCGCTGGTTCAACAGGGCGTGGGGATTCCTCCTTCCATGTTCCCCACCATCTCCACTTTCCGATCCGAGCGACTTTTGGATCGCAGGCTCGTCCGTGCTCGATCCCAGCGGAGGGCGTCGGGTTTTTCTACCCCGGAGGCAGGGCAGCGCTTTCGGGGTGTGCGTGTGCGTGTGTGTGTGTGTGTGTGTGTGTGTGTGTGTGTGTGTGTGTGTGTGTGTGTGTGTGTGTGTGAACAGATGCAGG